ACAAAAACTTTAATTTTTGGGAATATGGATGACCCAACCGTTTATGCCATAAATCCCAAACATTATTTCTATAACTCAATAGAGAATCAGACAAAGAAGAGCTAAGTAAAGCTGAGGATGCTCCTGATTGAGATTTCTCGAACTCCAGTGCAAACAGACGGCTCAGCCTATGCCCCTTCCCTTTCACCTTCCCAGTGTACCAGTCCTGTATCAAGCAACCATTATGAGAAAAGGTGAGAACATTTCCTTCATCAACAAGTTGGCCAACAAAAATCAGATTAGTAGTAAGGTTGGGTACTAAGAGGGTTTTGGAGAGAGGGAAGGATCTAGTTGGTGATAGTTTGAGGGACAAATCATTGCTACTGATGATGTCTAACTTTTCACCATTGGCAGTAATAATATGTTTATGGTGAGTTTTAGTGGAAGGATTTGGGTGATTGAGGTAGGCTCCTGTCATATGATTGGTGGCACCTGAATCTATGATCTAAGCATGTGAAGGAGAAGAGCAATATGCAGAGAACTTACTAGACAAGCCAATAGTAGAGAAAGCAGAGGAAATAGTAGAAGATACCAATTGCCAAACCTTTTCTTCATCCATGATACCTGTTGAATCACCTTTTACTGAAGATACAGTGCCAGATGCTTGTCCATCTGTTGCCTGATAAGCCCGGGGCTGAGGCTTTTTCTAAGAACCCTTAGCTGGTCGGACTGGACAGTCTGGAATGATGTGATCATGTTGCTTGCAGTAGGTGCACACATTCTTCTTTTTACAGTGAGATGCAATGTGTTCAAAACCCTTACACTCATAGCACTGAGTTATGGAGAAATCCTTGGAGGTTGGCTTCTTACCTCCATGAGTAACAAAGGCTGTTTTCAGCCCCAACTTCAGTCTTTTTCCCATCAAACCCGGCTGTAGTGAGAAGTCTAGTCTCTTCCCTCAGAAGTTCCCCTAAAACAAAATCTATATCCGGAAGTGTTCCCCTACTCAGTATGTTGGACTTGATTATCTCATATTCAGGTCTAAGTCTCATTAACTGAGTCACCTTTCTCTTCTCAAAGTGCTTCTGGAGATATTTCACACACTCTACTGGATCCGAGGGTTCAATGTGAACAATCTCATATTTAGCCCATAAATCAAGAAAACCTAAATAATATTCATGTATCCTCCTATCTCTTTGGCTATAAGAAAATATTTCTCATTTTATCTGGTACTGTTTAGATACGTTGGATTGTTGATAAACTTTTTCCAGACACAAGTACATCCAATATGCTGTTTTCATTCTCCTCATAGGTACAGATATATGATAATCAACAGAACTCAGAATCCAAGAAACAAACTTACCATCATCCAACTTCCATTGTTGTAAAGCCTTGGCCTCGGTCTCAGTTGGTTTAGTGACCGTTCCATTCAGATATCCTTCTAAACCTTTCCCTTCAACATAAAAGTCAAAATGGATCTTCCACATCCCATAGTCACAGGAATGATATCCCCTCGGTTTGAAGCCATTACAGCAATAAAATAACACAAAATAGGGTTTGGCTGAAGTTTAAAGGAAGTAGACTGAAGTAAAAAATTGATCAAAACGAGTGATGTAAGCTGTAATCTAATCCAAGTGAGTCAAAAACTGAGAAAGAAACCCCTTACTTTCATCGGAGATTGTCTAAGATCCAATAGAAGAAGAAAACTGAACACAGTCTAGAAAAGGAAAGTCTGGACGCAGCCACCTAGAAGAGAAGTCCAGATCTTTCTCAAAACTTCACGGATCTCTGTGAAACTTTCAGAGAATGTTGAGAAGGGCTAAGCGATAACTCCTTTTAAATCTTGCTGCAAACGGATGTCAAACGAGAGAGATCCAATGAAATCTCTCTTTTTAGATGCGCAGAGAGCAGAAAACGGTTCCTGGAAAGATCAAAACAGTCCAGGGCCTATCGGCTGAGATGCATCAGCAAGCTCTCAATCGATCAAGAAAGCAAGGTGGATCAGAGAGAAAGAAGATCAAAGGGCAACCTGCTCTGATACCATGTGAACTGAATTGAGAGCAAAGAGAAAACAGAATTAAGGGTGTCAAGAATGGTTGATCCCCACCCCAAAGAGTCTCTTTTATATTAATGAGATAAAAGATATGTATAGTTACAAGAATGCCCTTACTGGGCTGAGATAAAAAGAACAAATAAAATAATAAGAGTACGATACTGTACAACAAGGACTAATGTACATCAAGGTATATCTTCACGGTGCCCCTAGTACATCCATACACAACCACCACAGTAGCAGCAGCATTTGTCAAAGAGATCACAAGATTACATGGCACCCCCATCCCCATAGCTATTATTTACAGACTGGGATCCGACCTTTCTCAGCAATTTTTGGCGTGAATACTTTCGGCTACAAGGCACCTTGCTCCATAGATCCACTAGCTACCATCCACAAACCGATGGGCAGACAGAGGTACTTAATCGTAGCATTGAGACCTATCTAATGCTTTGCGGGAGAAAACCCAAAGACATGGGCTTAGTGGCTGCCATGGGCAGAATTTTGGTACAACTCTACATTCAATATTGCAGCAGGCATGACTCCTTTTAAAGCCTTGTATGGACGTGACCCACCATCAATATTACCCTATGAACCTGGCTCAACAGTAGTGGAGGCGGTAGACCAGCAACTATCTGAAAGAGATAATATCATCAAAAGTCTCAAAGCCAACCTCATGCAAGCACAATCATGGATGAAAGCCAATTATGATAAAAAACACAGCAGTGAATTTCCAGGTTTGGGAGTCCGTCTATCTCAAGTTACACCCATATAGACAAACCTCTCTGGCTCGGAAAGGGTGGCACAAACTATCACCTAGGTTTTATGGGCCGTTCGAGATTACGGAACGAGTTGGGCCAGTGGCATACAGAATAGATCTTCCAATGTGTGGGAAACAACACAAGAGCTCCGCCATTCTGCCAGAATTTGATGACACAGGTTTACTACAACTACAGTCTCAGAACATCCTGGACTATTGTTGGATCAAGATGGGGAAGCAAATTCAGCAACAGGCCCTAGTATAATGGACAGGACTACCAGTTCATGATGCCACTTGGGAGTCCTGTGCATTTCTCAAACAGAGGCATCTCCAACTACACCTCGAGGACGAGGTGCTTCCCGCAGGAGGACTTGTTAGGAGCCCAGAATACAACAAGTATATTCTAGAAAGAATAAGAAAGGAGCCACATCAGCAAATTCAGTTGCAACAAAGCTGTAACTACAAAGATGTAACTACTGAGTCTTGATCTTGATCTTGGTGTAATACTCTGTACAGTATAAAAGGGGTCAAGAAGAATAAGAAGGTAGAAGAATCATTTGAGCCATCTCTCTCTCTCTCTCTCTCATTTTTATCAGGAGGTAGCACACCCTCGAAGTGGTGCCTAACAAATTTCATAGTGGTTTGTGGTGGAAGCGTAGGGCCTGTAGCCCACCACTAACCACGACCAAGGGGTGCTGGGGTGGAGCCCTGCGGAAGTTTGGACCCTATCCATATTCAGCTTATGGGTTTGACCTGAAGGGATTTTGGGTTTAGGGTTTTCTGTGAGTGAGGTTGTGTGTGCATAGCTCTGTGCTCTTCACCATTCTTTGATTTTATAGTGAATTTCTGCTCCTTCTTCACCCATGGACGTAGGCTAGAAGAGCCAGGGGAAGGCAAAGCAGACCTAGGTTGAACTTTGAAGTAGTGAAAAAAATTTAGGGCCCATAATTTAACATTAGATATGACACTGAACAGATGGAATGGCAAAATGGGTTTTATTTAGCTGACCCCACATAGTAGGGACAAGGCTTTGTTGTTGAGTTGATTACCATTACAGGATAGGATCCACTTTTGTACTGTTTGCTGTATGCTAGGCCACTATTTGATAAAATATAAATGCAATCTTATGGTTGAATATTGAACTTCCATGATGAGTTGTAGACATTATTTTCTTCCAAATGATCTCCTTTCTTGCCACCGTCTTCTAAAATGGCCAGCCCTCTTTATAGGAGGCTGTCTTTATAGCCCTAGTAATGGAATCCTCTCCTTACCTTTGATTTGTTGTTGATTGAATTCTGTTTACTTTACTGAAGAAGGTAGTGATGCTAATCTGCCTTCTTTAGGAGAGAGAGTTATATTCAAACATTTATTCTCATTTATGATTGATATAGATTCTATTTGTGAAAACTTATAGAACCCTTGATGGATTTAGCTTCCATAATCCACTTAAGGTTTTCGGATTTGAATTTAGATTTGGATCTGAACTTGAATTTGACTGAGTTGAATCCAGTTTGGGTCTTTTTATAATAACAGGTTTTATAGGAGTGAGGTCAATGTAAATTTAGACTGGTGCATTCAAGGACTTAATCCCTGTAAGAAAGATCCATTTGTAGTAAAAATAGGATTCCAATATCTAAAGCATAATTGACAAATAAACTGGAATTTTTAAAGAAGGTAGCAATAGTGGTTATAGATCTTGAAGATATTTGTTCGATGAGAAAATAACTGTTGAAGATTAATCAGTTTTATGATGTTTTTCTGAGTAGATGTTTTATGTTAGTTTTTAGATAGGAGGTGGGGACCACAGTAGTTATGTGAGTCCAAATTTTATTATGTTTTTGAGTGTTATATATGCTATTTTATGTTTTGCCGCCCTATAAGGGCATAGTTGTCTTTGTACTGTTCTATTATTTTTAGTATAAATAATAAGTGAAGGGGGCGGCCAGATTATTGCTCTCTTTTCTTTTCAACTTCTCTTCTTCTCTTCTTCTCCTTTTCTGTTCCTTCTCTTTTCAAGAAACTACTTTTCTTTCATATTTTTTAATTCAGCAGATTTCTACTATAACCATTTAAAATGGATGTTTTATTCATCAAGTTATGATCATTGGAATGTGACTGTAGATCACTTCATTAACTAATCATGGTCAATGAGACTGTAGATCACTTTATTGTTTTATAGACTGGGATGAGAAAATGTTCTTATTGCAGAGAGGGTATAATGTCAACACCAGCTGTTTCGGCTGTAATTCGGAAAAGGAAGGCAAGGAATTTTTTTTTCTCTCCATTTTTGGTTCTGTTCATACTTCTATCAAGATTGACTCCTTTCCTTTTTGTCCATATAATTTGACAGGCCAATGGTGGTTTTATAATGAGTGCAAGCCACAATCCTGGTGGACCTGAATATGATTGGGGTGTCAAGGTGAACTTCTTGTGAATATTCATGCTGTTAAGTACGAAAGGTTCCAATGATTTTTTCTTTCATACACTGTTCAATGAAAATATTCTAGTCATTACTATCCTATTTTGGATAAAAGATGCCTAAAAGCACCACATTCAACTGTTTTCCATTTACCTAAACTGCTAAACAGCATAGTGAATCTTTTTATGCTCTACTGCAGAAAATTCCATTACGTCAATATGGAATTCTCTAATTTCTATTATATTTGTAATTTCTGGTGACAACCACTCATGCAAATAAATTCTTCAGTTATTTGTATATAAGAATTAGACCTGTTCATGGGCCGGGCTTCATACTGGGTCCAATCAAAATTTGGCAAAAGCTAAGCCTGAGCCTGGCCTATGAACAAATCTGATAAGAATAAAATGCATTTGTATATAATAATTCTCTAATTTCTATCATCTTTGCAAATGCCAATTTGATCTCATGGAGTCATTAACAATGTTTTTGACTTAGGCCATTAATTCCTTATTTTGTGTGTTTTCAGTTCAATTATAACAGTGGGCAGCCTGCACCAGAGTCCATTACTAACAAGATATATGGAAACACTCTTTCTGTATGCATCTGGTTTTTTTTTTTTTTTTTTTACAGCATCTTTCTGTATATATCTGTTTCTTTGGTATTTCTTGTAAATCCTTCAAGATAATCTTTATTTTCCTATGTTTGGTAGAACTAAATAAAATATTTTTTTTTCTCCATGATAAGTAAAACATTATTTTGTTCTGGTCTCATTAGTCATCATACATGTTATAACTGTTAGTTTAAGCCTACAAGTTACACATGTTTCTCAGTTGTAGGTGTATGATGTGTATGTCTTTCTTTATCAGCATAGAGTGTAAGATGCCTTTCTCTGCGCTAACCTATATAAGTGACTTAATTGCAAAACTGAAAATATATTTAATGAAAACAGTTAAAAAGGTCTTCTTCTTTGCTACTAATGTTGAATTTTGCTCAGCATTGCTGGTCCTGAGCCCATATGAAGCAAGAGGGTTGTGTCAGGTTGGCCATAGGCAAGAAAGAAGCTTTTTCCATATCATTTTCAAAAATTATGATTCATTTATATTAAGTGCACTGAAAAGAGTAATTTGATGCAAATTGGAAGTCCTAAAGTGACAAGGAAGAGGTGATAACTCTTTATTGGCTCAAGGATAGCAAAAAACATGCAGCTTAATTTATTATTATTCCATGGGGATTCTGTGACTGCAATCAGATGGTCACCACAAGCAGCTGCTGGTCTGTGGAGAATAGTGCATTTCTTTAATGAAATCAGGTATAATGTGAACTCTTTTCAAATTTAGTAGAGATGGATTCCTGGGAGCAAAACCCTGTAGTGATGATCTCATGATGGGAATTGTGAGAAGGGTCTTTTTGTATGGAAACATCTGTAGCTTTTGTCTGAGGATGGAGCTTCTTTAGTACATTTTGTATATGTGCACACCACATGTGCATCTTTTCTCTTTTGTTGAATTGATTAGTTGTATTTGTGAAAAACAATGGAAAGGTGAAAAACAATGGAAAGGTGAAAAACAGTACTGTGGATCAATGAGAAGATTGATAACTGATTTTTTAGTACAAGATATAGCTCTAGAGAGGATGAAATGGGATTTGTGTAGCCATCCAACCCCATTATGAAGGGCATAATCAAATGCAGAAGTGTTGCACTAGTGGGATTAGTGATCTATGTATCTCGAGTTGAATAAAAGGAAATATCATCACTGAACTTTCTTACTTCTTCTGGACCAGTTGAATCCTAAGGATTTGATTCTACTGCCTTTAATTGGTTTATACTTGTCCTTTTTTGATAAATGAATGAAATTTTATTAAACCAGCAAATAAGAGTTTCATGCAACCCGAGGAAAGGCATGAGATGTGACCTTTCCTATAAAGCTAGATACAGAAATTTGAGAGTTTCTTCATGCATCAATATAAGACAAACTATGGTGTTTTTCCTTGAACATTGAGTTTCCCTTTTCAAACTCCAAAACAGGATCAGATTGGCCAGAAAGGATTTGTTAGAACTCTTGAAAGTGATATTCTAATGACATTTACATGTTTGTTGGGCTTAGTAATGAATACAAAGTACCAGGTGCTGTGTATTACATAAATCTTATACACTCGATGGAAAAGCTGATCCAGTATTTTGGGAAGTAGTGGTTGTGCACCAATGGTTGCCTTTCTGTGTAAGGACATGTTTTTGATTGTTTAAGTCATGGAATTGAGTTAGCCAAAGAAGGGGAGCTTCTATTGTAATTATTTCAGATGATACATGGCATGGCAACATCTGATCCATTTTGAAATAAGATGCAGGCAATCAGTCACTGGTGCATTTTAGAATTATTTATTGCAATTTGGTTGGTATTCAGAAGAATCCTTCTTCGGAAGCTTTTACTATCATATTACCTTACCTTAGGTGGCAAGCGTAGTTTGGTTATGGTTCTCTTTTCATTATTACTTAGTGAATACTTCTTTTTGTCTAAGTATATTGTCCATTTAAGTAAGTAATAGATTGGGCACCATCAACATGTAACCAAGGTACAAAGTATTGGAAACACAAGGTGTACCATAAAGACAATTTTAAGAGACATATCAGGATACACTTTGTACGCATGGATATCGATGAAAAATCAAGATATGCATGTAAGTGCTATACTCAAATAAATCATACAAATATATCAATAGCACTAAATGTAAGTCTTAAATGAGGTATATATACATAAGAATCACATTCTGTAATGATCCCCATGAAGAAACATTTCATAATCAACATTTTGGAACACATGAATATTTTCTAACAAAGCTATAGCTACAAGCCTATATGTTCATAAATTATTCATCAAACTTTTATCTTAAGCTTTCAAGTTGGTAACTATTTTAATATGAAAATAATTATCTTAAGAGTTTATTCTTATAAATCCTTGCATTTCTCTCTTGTCATATGCACCAAATATCTACTGAAGAATCATGTTCCACACCAATTTTCCCTTCTTACTGAGACATTCAGGTTTCAACCCTCCGGCCCTTCACAAAATCCACCAATGATTCTGGGTAGCAACTTTACACCTCAAACATATACCATACCTTGGAAGAGAATCTGTAGTGTATAACAGATGGTTGACTGATTCATTATGCTCCTGTCATAAAACACATATGGTGGAATCTGGAAATATGCCCTTCCTCACCAAATTTCCCCTAGTTAAATTTCTGATGACATAGGCAGTCCACACAAAGAAAGCTACCTTTGTGGGCAATTTGCCAAACAATACTAGAAGGGATGGATTCTTCCTCCGATCTAGAGATGTGGTTGTAAAAAGTTTTGACTGAATTCTCCAGATTTCTCCCATTCCCAAGTTCTTCTATCTTCTCTCCTATTGTCCACATGAGTGCTATACAATTTATGCAACAATTCCACCAGTGGCTCCACTTCCAGTCATTCAAATTTCTTCTAAAATTAGGGGCCCATACAACACTTCCATTCTGTACTTCCATATAATCTGCCACATAAGCCTCTTTGTCCACTGCTCACTCAAACAAAGCAGGATAAGAGTTCTTCAAGGGTCTGTTTTCGCACCAGATGTCCTTCCAAAATTTCACCTAGAGTCCATCCCCAATCTTGAACCTTATTCCTTTCGAGGAAAGGTCATAAGCTTTCCCAATGCCTTTCCAAACAGGATACCTATAGTATTGATTTAACTCTCCCAGTTCCCAACCAGAATTTTTGTAACCATATTTAGCCACTACCACCCTCCTCCATAGGTTACCTTGATTCTCTATTTTTGTAACCATATTTAGCCACTACCACCCTTTTCCATAGGTTACCTTGATTCTCTTCATATCTCCAAAACCACTTTCCAAACATAGCAATATCAACATCCTTCACTATCAAATTGATTTTTGTTGTTGGAGTTGCTTTTTGTTTCTATTGCTAGAGTGTTGTCAGTCTAGGGTGCTGTCAGCATGTTCTTTTCTTTGTTTAACTATTTTATTATTAGGGTGTGCCACCAGGGGTATGATTGTAATTTTCTTTTCTTTTATTTACTTCATGTTATTATAAATAAGAAGTTGGGCACTGCCAGCCCAACCTTTTGACTCTTAAACACTTTTCTTCCTCTCCTCTTCTCTTCTCTCTTTTCTCCTCCCCTCTCTCTCCTCTCTCTTCTAGAAAGAAAACATGGTGTCAGAGCACAATTATGGGCGATAGGAGTCTTTTTCTCCTCTGAATCACATTCATTCCACCCAGTTTTCTGATTTCTTGGACAGTGAAGGCAAGAAACCCTTATCGGACTGGTCAGAACCACCTGTTGTTGTTTCTTCTGGGTTCTTCTTTGGTCATAGCACCAAGGTAACCCTAGTAGGAGGGGGCCGATGCTGTGAAGGCTCTTTTTCTTTCAGCCAATGCTGTGAAGACTTGGTCTTTGGATTTGCACCTTTGTACAGGTGCTGTACAGGGGTGTGTGATCCCCTTTGTCACAGGTATGTGCTGTGATTGGTTGGTGTGTGTAGTGCATAGTCCAATGGTGACTGAAATTTAAATTTCTGGACTGTTTAATTGCTGCCAGTGGATTTCAGCAGCGTTTTTCTTTATTTCTCGACTGTTTCTCGACTGTTTAGTTGCTGCCAGTAGATTTGCGCACCTATGGTTCGGGTTTTGTCTTGTAGACCTTGTTTCTCTCAATGGCAAATGATGATTCTGCCTCATTCGGGGTTGCATCAACTCGTAGTACAGCTGGTATGGGAGTTGAAAATATGATGTTTCCTATGCCAATTATTCCTTTAAACGGCTTGAACAAATTGGAGTGGGCTAAAGGTGTAAAACTTTATGTATCAGTAGGGGGAAAAGCTGGTTACATAAATGGAAGAGTGAAAGAACCCAAGAGTGGGATAGCTGAACATGATAGGTGGGACCAAGAGAACAGTACGGTGATGTCCTGGCTTCTTGCAGCCATGGGACCTGATGAGAAGAACTTTATGTGGGCAGAAACTGCTAGTGAAATGTGGAAGCAGGTCAAAACCACCTATTCTGAGCAAAGGCAGTATGCCAAGATTTACTAGTTACAAGCTGAATCCTCAACCAGTAAACAGAGGAACCGTAGTTTGTCAGCCTATTATTCAACCCTTACTTCAGTATGGAAGGAGTTGGACCACTATCAGGCTGTAGAATGGAAACATGATGATGATGCTAAAGCCTATAAGAAGTTGGTTTCTCAGCAGCGGGTTTTTGCCTTCTTGTTGGGACTAAACCCCGCATATGAACCTCTTAGAGTAAAGATTTTAGGAAGTAAAGAGTTGCTTTCAGTTCAAGAGGTGTATGCCCTTGTTTAGTCTGAGGAAAGTAGGCAGAGTGTGATGGTTACAATTGAGGGGGAGCAATAGGTGGCATTAGCTGCAATAGGTGGTAACAATATGGGAAAGAAAAGTGACTCCAAGAAAGTTGATGATAAGGACAAGTTCTGTACTCATTGCCAACATTCAAGACATACACGTGACACATGTTGGGAGCTTTATGGGAAGCCAAAGTGGGCTGTAAAGAACCAAGAATAGGGTAAAGTGCAAGGTCAG